AGCCTCCTTAGAATCCCCCTCACCAACCCACGGTATCACCAGATCACCATACAAACCCACAAACAATATCGTCCGCGCACACCCACACACCAACCGTGCGCTCTACAGACGGCATCTGTGCACGCAAACTGTCCACGTGCTCGCCGGACGGTGTCCACGCACTCCCACACACTGCCCACGCGCTCCCTGGACGGTGTCCGCGTGCCTTGCCAATGATAGAAAGTGTCCGCGCTGAAAGTGTCCGAGCACATAGAAAACGCGTCCGTGTGACGTGCGGACAGAAAAAGTGTCCGCGTCTTTTCTGCATTCCGCGCCCTCAGACGCCCCAGGCGCGCTAAGGCGCTTTTGTCTCAGCTCTCAGACGCTTCTGCTTAATGCGCAGACGCTCCGGACGCTTCTCTTATAAGAGAATTTAATTAATTAATTAATTAATTAATTAATTAATTAAATATTGCATCGGGCAGTGCCAATAGCGCGCTTTGACGCGCTCGCACATGTTCGGACGATTCCGATGCGCTCGGAAACTGCGCGGACTCCCCCTTTTCCCACAGTGACGAAATAATGCCATTGATGGAAATAGATGTCAAGAGTTCAATGTGTCACCTTAACGCTTCAATGCTTCTGTGTAGGGGCTCTATTTCGTCCACGTCCCTTTTCCGGCTCATGCTGCCTTCAACCTTTCGCAAGCCAAGCGTAGTTCAGCGCGGAGCCAAAGCACACAATCTATATTGCATGATTAGACATAATGATAGATTGCTTTAAGAGCTGTAAGGCTGTTGTGACCTACAATTCCCCAATGCGCGATTTGAAGCCATCAGACACGAGATACGCAACCAAGTTCAATTGGCCAAATCCACATGCATTTACCTGGTGAAAGCCCAAGCCAGGGAAGCAACAACCTTTCAGAAAAAGCTGCCAAAGCAAGTAATGTAAGGAATTAGGACTCATACCATTTTTCTCAGAACATGGCTACAAACAAGAGAAATAGGTCAATTAACATTTTCTCCGAAACTTCAAGAGGCGTTGGGCATGAACCTACGGTGAGACGAACGCTTCCGAATTGAGTTGATCATATCGATTGGTTGGCTTGCATTGGACGTAAGGCCAACTCACTGGAGCTCCGCACTGTTCTGGTAAGTTCATTCTCATCACCTTTGGATGGGCCGCAGGCTCGCACTCAGCGTGGTCGCCGTGCCTCGGAGGGCTCTTCGGCTTCGCAGCCTCATCCCAGTGGGCCATCGATGGCTTGTTTTCGCTGGAAAGTCCCACTGTTGGAAAGAGACGCTGAAGCATGGCTGAGAAAGTTGTGTAGGCGGGCGATGCATCGTTACAGAATTGAGCTATACCTTGTACAATAATGTTATAAGGGTATATTCACATCGTGTACAGTACCGCATATGGTAGTCATTGAGGCATATTAAAGTACAGGTATCAAGTTTCAATTATCGCCCAAGAGCATCTGTTCGTTTTTCACGTCTTCAATAGAGCTAATGGTCAATGGCAGCTAGCTTCCACGTCATACTTGCACGAATTCCACTAGTTGAGCCTGATTTATGTTCAAAACTATTTGCATAACAGCGCAATTTTGCAAGCCTTTATGTGTCCGCCGTGGTGCACGGCATTGGTCGCTGTAGGGAATCCACAGCGAACAATCATTAGGGCAATGTGGGTGCAATACTTTCCAAGAATGCGTTGCTGATGTTTCTGTAAAATTGGATATAACGACCATAACACGGGACAATAAGTATGATATGTTAATGTATATACTATCAGAATACATTAGAATTACATCAATGCACGGAAAATACTGTGAGCTCATTGAGGCGTCGAAATTAATCCAGAGTCGATTGATATATCGGGTGCGATCCTTTGAGAACCGACCCAACTCAGGGTTGGGATTGAATTCTATCAGCATGTGAAAAGCAGATTACATCAATGCAAAGAAGGAGCCCTCCATACACCCCAGTTTCCCCTTAGGAGTTGCCATCTCACAGCTGTGCGGGTGATTCAATAACAGTACCGGATCATATTAAACGATTCCCGCATAGTAACACAATGTTCGACCTTGTGTTGCGGAGCAGTAATAAAGAGCGTAACGCTGCCATAACTAATGGAGAGCATCCAATAAAATAACGCCTAAAATAGACCGGAGAAGATCCCAATAAAATTGGCATCAGGGATGCCAGGAATGTGCTGTGGCAAAGAGCTTTGTACGTCACTTTCTTGGGTCGCATCGCGTGCGCACATACACTAGGAAAAAGGGGCCAAATAACACTTTTGCAAGCACACACAAAACACATTTCATCAAAGTTCTGCACGCTAAGAACACAAAAACAACACAAACCCGTAAACTTTGTACACGTTTGAACACGTGTTATTTTGCCCTTTTTTTCCTAGTGATAGGAGCTTGTGAACTGGTCAGCTGCACCTTAAACTTGACCAGAGGTCCAGCAGATTGTACGGCACATCCAGTGCTTGTCAGGTGCGATGCGGAGCGGCATAGGAGCAACGCGTAATGCCGCGAGAGAAAGATGTGAACCACAATCGCAGCGTTGAACATTTTTGATGCGGAAGATTCGAATATGTCACGTCAGTGCTCTATGATCGTTGTGTTTTGCGCTAACTGGCTTGAATTCTGTATACCTCAGTTGCCAGTGTTACCATTGCACAAAAGCACCTGCAGCTTTCAGAAGGCAAAAGTTGGCAAGAATTAGTGGCGCATGAACATGCAAACATACAGAATTTATTGATAATGAACTTATGCAGCAACGCTGCAGAATGCTGTTATTTCGTAACCATTTGCCAGTGGAAAATTCCCATCCTTTTCGCTCATTGCTGATGCAACCAGGCTTGGTTCTTACGTTTACATTTACTTTTTTACTTCTACGTTAAATTTACGTGTAAAAACGTAAATTTGTGAATTTGTAAACGTGAATTTGTAAAAGGGCCCATTTTTGCGGCTATTTTCTACGTTTTGCGGCTCCCTGGGACACCCAGGTTACACCATGAAATTTGCGTACAATGATCAGTCCTCCGCCATTCTCAGCACCCGCAACACAATGTACACATCACCTTTGGCAAGGGCGATGACGGTGTTTAACAAAAACTCGTTTTCTTTCCCTTACAGGGCGTCTGGGTGCCACTCTCCGGACTCCATAATTCTGCATATACTGTTCTTATGTACATCGGGCATTTTCTACGTCGTATTTACGTATTTCACGCATTTTTATGTGTAAAACTTAAAAACTATTCTTACGCGTAAAAACGTAAATACGATCAGTTTTTACGGCATAAAAATCAAGCCTGGATGCAGCGACATTGATCGCGTGTTCCACCATTTATTTCTGTATGGGTAAATTGCCCTTGGACATGGAACTTTAGAGGACTTGCTGGTACCAATTTCTTCCGAAAGGGTGTTCATAATCCATTCACTTGTGTATTTACTTATTTACTCACTTGCTTATTTTTTGCTTATTTATTCCGTATGAATTTGTGACAAATTTGGTAATACTGTGCATTTCGTTCGCCACCTGCGCCCGCCCCGCCTCCGGCCGACCTCATCTCCACTACCCCCACCCCCTTCCCCCCCCCGGTCGGCTCTCCCGCCGCTCTAACTCCGGGGCGCATCCCGTCACGGCCATCGGACTGCAATCCAGGCCCCGGGGGCCCACCCCCGCCTCCACAATCCCTGCCGCCGCCACCAGTGGCCTCCTCCGACTGGGCCGGTTCGCTGCCTCCCCTTTGTCCAATGGCCTTTCCCAGGGCGGAATTGCTCAAGACAAATAGCCTGTCTTCCGCCTGGAGTTTCAAGCAATGTTTTGGGAAAATGGAACACCATTTAGTATTTAGTGTGCTGCGTTGTACCACTTTTTGCGAAACAGGCATTTTCAGGCCCTTTTTGATCATCCCGTCCAGGAAATTGTCTGGACAAGGCAAGTTTTCATGTGCCCTGATTCCAGGCATTTTGGTTGGGCGCATATCGTCGTATTTATTTCATATTCGCTGAAGTGCATGCGTATGTTTAGTGCACACAAAATTCGCCCAGTGTTTCTGACATTCACATGTTGTTGCTAGCTACACATGTGAATGCTGTGTACATAGGATTTACAGTGCCCAACACCCACACAGTGTAGCTAACATTCACGCAGTGTGAGCGTCAGTACTGACATGTCTAAATTCATGTTATTCATATTCACAACGTCCCAACGCAGCCAGGCTAAAACCTGGAAATGTGAGATAAACATGTGTCAGATATAAGCAGATATGTGTCATAATAAATAAGTAAATAAATGTGTGTCATGATACAATAAATGCGAATTTTCATATTGTCGTCTGAATTTTCAGTTTGCTACTTTTTCGAGCGAACCCAGCTCTGCTGTCAGCTGGCACAGAAAAATGGGTGAAATTATTTCAATTAAACTGCAGTTATTTTCTCTCTGTCGCGCCGCCTGCTGCTTCCAGGCTTCGCGATGCGTTTGAGCCTCAGCACATCACGCACGTTTGATCCATCTGAGATGCATGCTCAGCTACATGAGAGCATGTATAATTCATGTTTTCAGGCAGATAAGCGAACCGTTATGAAAGCACTTGCACGTACAGGACAAGCATTCCTGGTAGGACTTTGCATGGCGAGCGAAGCGCTCTTGTCCCCGCTCTACACCTTGTCTTGTGGAATGATGGGGAATGAGAAGAATAGGATACCATGGTATCCAGATGGCCATCTGGAGCAAGCTCCATATCAAAGCCAAAAATATCTGCGTCGAGCAATCAAAGATAAAATAGCAAAATACTTTGCAGCACGATGCCTCCTCCACAGCATGCGCATACATGATAAGCATCACATGCCATGCAGTTTGATATATCAAATATATAGTAATAATCCCATATGAATGACTCAATATTAATCCATCGTGGCTCATATCGAAAAACGCGGGTATCTTCTCAAAATGAGACTCTTATGTTCATCCGTGAAAAGCATAAGCAGTTGGCTGAGCGTCGCTTCACTGGCCCACCTCTACTATCGCATCTTTTGTGGGACACGTGTACACGTACGGTCCTTGGTTGCCGCGATTCAGGCCCACCCTGTAGATTCCCACGCACACCTGGCCCTCCCTGAGCAGCTGACTGAAAACGCTCTGGAAGCGTCTGCCTGCCAGGCCCGGCGGCGTGGGCACCTGCACGAGCGCGCTGTGGTACGCGCGATCCGGAACGCGAACGTGGACAGTGTCCGCGATGTCCCTGCAGGAGCAGAGGACGCAAGACTATGGACTTGCATTTTAGAAGAAGTTTGTACTAAAGAATATAGTTCTACTTATTTAGAGTTTAAAATGTTTTGGGTTTCGATTCAGCCTGTTCGTTCAGAGTATTCTTACAACTTGCACCATTTGTCTTTTAGCCAATCGTTCGTAATAGTTCATTCTTGACTTCTCGGTTTTCTGTCCGTTGAATTGAATGTGGCTGTGATCGGTTGCGACGTGTGGGCCTCAAGGAACCAGTGCTTGGCGCCGCCATGAGCTTTGCATCCCCAAGTTCGGCGCAATTGGAAATTCTTTCGTATTTCACGTGTTTCAGATTGAACCATTGCTGTATTGAACACAGACCGTCATACGACATGTATACATGTATATTCACATGTTTTCGTATAAACAAATTGTGTTTATATGCACAGTTGTGTAAAAAAAGATCTATAGTGTAACAAATGTGGGAGAGTATCCGGCATTCCTTACCTCCCAACGAGAATTTTGCGCAAGATCCTGATAATGTCGGAGTTGTAGAATGCCTGGCAACAGGCGCTACACTTGAAATAAGCGTCAAATAAATTCCCGGTGCGTGATCACACGGACATGGGACAGGTTAAGATCCCAGTATGCCCCCTTTTCGTGAGCATGCGTTACGATAGCTGGCGCTTGAAGACAAACAACATAGAACGCATTGAGACCTCTTTGTTTCTTTGATTGGTGCAATCAAAGTGCCACACGAAACAGCTCTAGCCTCAAAATATATATCAAGAGGACTCTGTCCAATCACAGATACCTACTTAATTAGGAAAATACTGCAGAGCATACGTTTGCGACAGAGGACAGAAGCCCGTGGCTATTGGAACGGTCACTTTGCATTCTTCTTACAAGAACATACACAAGTGTATGTTGTCTGTCAATAGTTAGCGTGACAAAAGTGCAACACAGTCCGATTATCCGATATATCCAATTTATATATCCGATTTACGCAGCCGTGACGCCGCACAAAGGGCCCTGAGCAAAGCAGAAGTCGCTCACTTACTTCAAAGAATTCGTGGCACCCTACATTAAGTTGTCCACCTCGAAGTAAATATACGTTCGAACAAGCATTTAAATAGAGCAACGAAATTTCTGAAGACTGCTATGTGTAAAGTTACACATAACAAAGTTCCCTGACGACGCCATGAAGTTATGAACAGGTATTTTGCGCAACAGCATTAGGCTGGTGGGCGGAGCGCCTCGCGCATTAATGCACCAGTATTGGAATGACCAGAACTTTCGGTTTGATTCAGAATCCAATATTGAACAATTTCGCTGAGCATATAAATAACTAGTATTCAACAAATAAAGAAATGAATAAATAGATAAACGTGAATAAAAAAATAAATAGATAAATAGATAAATAAATGAATAGGTAGATAGATAAATAGATAGATAGATAAATAAACAAATAAATAAATAAATAAATAAGTATAATAGATAAATAAATAAGTATAATAACAAGTAAGTAAATAAATAGCAAATACATAAATAAAGTACCAGGTGATGCTCACAAAATTCAGTTCAGCCCAAATTAACGGCGTTTGCGCCCCACCTGGCAGAACAGCGTGTCCAGGAATCCCGACAGACACACCATGCCCGCCGCAAAGAGCGGCGACGACATGAGGCCGCCGCACCCCCCGTCGCAGCCCCCCTCGATGTGCGGCATCAGAAACGCCAGGTTGGAGGCGGACTGGATGTCCATGCAGATGTTGAGGCCGGGGTTGGCGGCGTGCAGCTGCTTGAAGGTGAGAATGACGTCAGCATCCACGCGGGCCTCCTGGTACACCTCGGCGCCGGCACCCGTCCTCCCGATGGGCAATATCATGGCCGCGCTGGCGCCGGACGCGTTCAAGAGGCGCAGGGTGTCCTGGCTGTGAGAGCGCCCCTGCGACTGCGCGGCAGAGGCAGTTTTGATCTTCGCAGATTATCACCGATCAAACAATGGAACAGCGAGCAGTTGAAACCAAACGTTCGTTTTGCTAATTGTAGGCATTCAAATTATGCTATGTCAATAAAATTAGCTGTACTGTAATTGCGTTGTATGTATGTTACCATTTATTGCATATGGGAAGATCATAATAAATCTTTTTCGCAACAAAAGTCTCCTCGCAAGCATGGCTGGATGTATGGAACGCGCAGTCGCAGCGTCATTCGGTTTTCAGCTGGCTCGTCGATTTTCAGGTGATCAGGCAAGATATTACTTGCGCGTCCCCAATGAAGTCGTTGTAATCTGTGATCATAAATCGCCCTGATTCAATTGTTTTAGAACTTTAATTTACATGTTATAATAACACAATACATATAAGAGCTTAGAGCATAATTCGAATAGTCTAACAATCTCATAGCTGTCTAACTACTATGGCGTTGTTAGACTATTCACATTACTTAAGGGAGGAATCTGTACAAACGAAGTGGAGCTCCAATTTAGAGCGCCAATTAAAGCGCCCACCTTGAAGAAGTACATTCCCTGGAAGGCGGACACCTCGTTCCACTGCGCCTCCGACGGCGGTCTGTCGTCCACAATGACGATGGCCCTCACAATTTGTATCTCACGCCGGCGAAGTGGAGCCACCAGGTGTATGAGGCTGTGGACGGCCGAGATGCCGAAGATGAGCACGTGCCCAGTGAAACTGACCTCGGTCAGGGTGGCCTCCTGCGGCACGGGCGACACCTCGTGCACATCTTGCGTGCGGCAAATCGAGATTCAGCTTGTTTGGACAGTGGGAAATGCACCTTGATCGCGTGTGCTATATTAGTTTGTTTTCTGTCGAGTTTTTGCTTTCGTTTGGTGGAAAATGGAGCGGTACATACGTTGGTGCAGATGACACATGACATCTACACAACATTAGCATCAGTGCAACATGGACGTCAACGCAACATCGTTGTGTGCATTATTTATACTAATGTTTATACAGACATCGGGGTGGGGTGGGGGGACTCTTGGGCACACACGCGTGTGCCAAGAGGTATCGTCATGCACCGAATGTGCTTGCTGGCTATGTGCAGCATACTGCAATATGTTGCATGTCCCCAATGTTAGGCACATGTGATACGAGAAATACTTCAAGAGACATACGAAAAGTGGCCCATCGCCCCTTGACACGGCGGCACAGGTGATGACGTAATTTTGCTGGTTGTAGACTGTGTTCAATGATTTCTGATGATGAATTTCTAATGTCGGTACTGAAAGGTACTGGCGGAAATTCCACACACATTATTTGCTTGTCGCAGGCGGAAACGGCCAGCAAGCTCTGTTTCAAATCAATTTGTGTACGAATCGCTTCCGCAAGCTGACGGTACTAGGGACTCTACCGTAGGGGAACTCGCCTACAGCACAGTATATTAAGTGCACAAAAGCAACAACATGCATGATAACAGGGATTAGCGGGGCAATACTGAAGCTCAAATTATCAATCGCGAGCTTGCATCAAGCTTCTCAGAGCATCTCTCACCGCAGCACATGAAAGGGCAAGCAGTCTGATCGCATTGATTGACAATGTCATAATTCCAATTCGCATTTCTAACATTATTTCCCTGTCTTGCTTCAACACGAAGATACCAAGTAAAGATTCCAGATTACTGCTCATGAATGTTATGCTTAACGAGCAAAGGCACACTATCCACACTATGATTCCGCAGCAGAGAATGACAACCTCCAGAGTCCACGGGGCTTTCCTGACGTGGAACTGCCGCCTCATTGTAGCCTCCATCTTCCAGGCGGCTTGCGCCACTCGAGAAGCTGCCTGGAAGGACACTCGTTGCGGCGGATCCTGCTGGCCTCCGCCACGGCCGCACGCCTCTGCCTGATGAAGAGCGACGCACAATGTGGGTTACAAATGAGCGATCGAAGAGAAAAATTAGCGACTCACCAATTGACGCCATTGCATCATCTAATCGCGTCATGTTACGTCATTAAATCGGATAACTTAATTTTTGCGGGATGCGTGCATTATTTCCACCAATTGTATAATCTTCAAGGCTGGAAAATGCTTTGCAAATGGGTTGGCATGCATGTCAATCATTGGAAGGGTTTCTCCATCCGGTGTGCCGACTTGTCCATGCGTGACCCCCGCCCCAACCCAGTCCACCCGCAGTGGGGTTCCTCCAGCCTCCACCGCACCAGCCTCCCCAAAACAAGGCTGCTATCTATCAGCCATGTGAGCCACAATGAACTACGAGCTGGAAACAGCAACCTTTAAACTATCTTTTTCTTTATACATCATCAAAGTCCATGGACTGCATTTGTCACAAAATGACAAAACACAGCCCGTGCACCTGGTAGGCGATGATGGGCGTGGAAACCAAGCAAATAGTATGTTCGGAATCGATTATTCATGGTACCATATCGCCACTTCCATTCTTTGTACAGCACTTCAGTTTCAGCATCGTTTCGTTAGGTGGGGCCCCTTCGCCTTCGGATCAAACCCGTTTCGATACAGCAGTTCAGCGACCTGTGCCGATGGGATTTGTTACAATATTGCATTGCTTGTCTGTCGAAATGGGGCTGCAGCGCGTAGCGCGCGCCAGCACAAGATGTCGCAGCTTGAGAACCCAAGTCTTCCAGCCGATTTAAAAAGTCATCATAACCCGCAGAAATGTTTCACCTATAACACATGAAGAACACATCATGTTAACGTGAGATGTTCTTCATGTACAATGTTGTACTCGTTGTGCGTCACAGCGAATAGAAATATTTATAGTGTTGATGTATACGCTTCCTTAGGAAAGAAAGGGCCAAATAAAGCGTGTTCAAGGGTGTACAAAATTTGCGGGTTTGTTTTATTTCCGTGTTTTTAGCATGCAGAATACTGATGAAATGCATACATATGTGCTCGCAAAAAGCGCTATTTGGTCCTTTTTTGCTAGTGCTTACGCGTTCATGCCGGCTATCCGGCGCTCCAATTACTACTCGCTCCCCAGCCAATATTAATAAAGTTTGGGACTCTGTTGCTTCAGTGAAAGGGAGCCCCACTGCTGCAATATTGCAGCATTATGCCGTTCGTTGCATCTCAAATGCGGCAGCATTCAGGCAAGTTTTTATATTTGTTACTCTGCGGAAACATATGCACAACAAATCTGTGCACTTGGTATTCATATGTGTGCAATACCTTCTTCTTGGTGCAGCCGTCGCTCTTGGTCCCCGAGACCCGAAACTCTTGGGCAGTGTCATGCAGCTCATCAGCTGCGGTATTGGACTCCTGAGGCAAATCTCTCTGGGTAAAGGGGTCCTCCTCAGATCCCATCCAGAAACTATCCACAGGATCTAGCATGCATTGGAGAAATTCCTATAAGTAGTCCTCCGAATTATCGACTTTGAAATACGCACAAAACCGTCACCGTATTTCGTGACGATAATTTTGGTGTTCTCCATTCCAATCATTATCACATTATTGGACGGTTGAGGGGGCATTAACGGACACAAGCCTCCAGTTTCTTCAGATTTAGCCTTCTCAGAAAATAGTACAGATCATTGGCACTCACTGGCAGCCCAATGTTTTGAAACACGACATCTTTTGATCACGAATGTGGTTAAAAAGTGCTGCAGAAATGCCGGATACCGCGACATCCTTACAACTGCAAAACTGCTTGCCCCCCAGTCCGCCGCCGCATTCCGAATTGGGTTTCACAACTGGACATGTTGAGCTTCTTTTATTAATCTGCAGCTCAAAATCTCTTGTTTTCATGGCAGCGCACGATACATACAGAATCACCAACCAGTCCACTGGCAAAAAAATGAGCAAATTGCACTTTTCCGAGAACACATAAAACATTTTCATCAAAGTTCAGCACGCTAACAACACAAAAATAACCCAAGCCGAAAACTTTGTGCACGTTTGAACACGTGTTATTTGGCCCTTTTTTCATAGTGCCCGGGGCGAATGCTCATGCCAATTCTCCCAATGTTTGGCTGAGATGTGAGTTATACGGCTTTCATGTCTCCGAGCCCCTTATCCATTGTGCTTAAATTTAGACCCCCTTTTACAGAAAGTTCAGGCTTAAAGTACTTTTTTCGTCAATTTTTCATGCAAATCTGGCTGCACTGTGCACCTAATGGATTGTACAGTACGACATAACGTACAGTACTGTACTGTGCACAACAGCAGTGCTTTATGCGCAAAGACAGTCGGGAATTCCATGAATGATTGTCTGCGCATGCTCGCTGCGCTGCTTTGAAGGCAAATCGCTTTGCGAGTGATCGACAGCGGTACCTGAAAAGATGCAACTGGGATCTTCAATTGCCGTTCGAAACATCTAGAACAGCCGAAGAAAGAAAACAGCAGAAGAAGCAGCCTGTTTCTATGGAAAACAGGGACATCAAACGGCATTTTAGACCGAATTATTCAATTGAATATACATGAACATGATGTTTTTGTAATAGAAAATGTCGAGGTAACGTACCCGCGTTCATCATTGTTCTGAGCACCCCCTCTACTGCCGATCCCCATCTCTGCGCCGCGATGCTCCTTCCCAGTTTCCTATCTCTTGAGGCCGCCCAAGGCACCTCCTCATGAGATTCCGAGAGGCGCACGTCGCAGGGCGAGGCCTCGGATGTGGCACTGCAAATAGTCCTGAAACTCGGAGATGCGGATTGCAATGAGCTCGCAATGATATAGACTTCACTCAAATCGTTTAAGAATGTGACAAAGAATGCGCAAGCAAATAATACAATATTGACAACCCAATATACATTTGACCTATTCGTTGAGCATTTATTGTGAATGCTAATGCAAATGCTTAATCGTTGATAGTTTGAGCAGTGGCTCGTTTGCTGGAGCAATGAATGTCGCATGTTGGAGGGCAGCATCTTGTCCATGAGAACGCCGAGTGGTTCCCTTGAAGCGACTCACAACGAGCCTCATCGGTATTCAAATCTGCATTTGAAATCAATGGGCGAGGGCATGCCTTTTCCTACACAACAGATTGAATTCCACCATCGTTTCCTCCGTGCTTGGCGGTATTCACCTTTCTTGAAGAACAAAAGGAACGCACTCCAACTCTGAGAGATGTTTAAATAGGACTATAGTATAAGAATGAATGTATATAAGAATATACTATATATATATATGCTATATGTAATAATACATAAGAATGGGAGTAAGAACCCACAACAGGTTGATTCTTCCTGTGTCGGATCGTGGAAGGGTTTGGCGTACGCTTCTTCACCCTACGATATTCCAGGATACGCTGTACTTTTTCTGCATTTATATTTATAAATGTAAATAGATACACAAAGGTAACTATGTACCATAGTGCGCAATAGTGTACATTGCAGATAATTAAATTTACCAGTACTAAATTAATTAGCAGTTAATACCAGGTTATACTACTTGCATTGGGGAAAATTAATTAATTTTTGCATCATGAAAAGTTCATTCCTATTTACAGTGTTCTATGTGGCATTTCGACAGCGGCCAAGCGAAATTGTAGATGGAGAACCAGCATAAAATATTTCACTGGAAGCAACGGCAATCATGGAACACGGGCCCAAGCTCCCACCTTGCATTAAGGTTCTCCCCGTTGCTGTCTGCACTTCGGCTTGCCTTTCCTTCCTCTAGGGAAGCGCCAACGAGGGTGTTTCGCGCCACGTTCCATTCCTTGTCCTGCGAAAAGCTGCGCCCCGTCTCGACCCTTGAACTCTCCAAGTGTTGATAAAAGATGAACAAACAGGTCTAATTCAACTGGTCCATTGCAGCTCAAGCAAGATATTAGCATGGCCAGGAATGTGGGCACAGCAGCAAGAAACAGAGGCAACGCAACATGTAAGCTGAAACTTTCAACCGCTTTTCGCTGCTGAAATGCCACTAAGAAACAATACGAAATGACAATTTTTTGATTTCAAACTGCGGTGTTGCTGATTCGGCGACGCCTCCACCTTTCCAGCAGCGGACCACTGGGAGGGTCCCTCCCACTCGGGGTGGTGAGGTCCCAGGCACACGCGCTGGTGCCTATAGTGCCTGAGGGACCGACTGCGTCCCATGTATCTCCAGCCGGCGCCTTGGCGGCTCGATCCGAGTCTGTAAGTTGCCACGTACAGGCAAGTCTTGAGGTTTGAGGCTATAACGAAAGCGGCAGTGTTTTCCACATCTGATATCACCTGGGCATGAGAAGAGCGGGCGTGAACCACCGATAGGTGCGTTTTATACATAGCAGCGCAGCGTCGTATCAGTTAAGCTGTGATCCTTTTGAGACAAATTTGGTGCTCCTTTTAGTCAGCACATGCTTTCGTGACAGACTGGTTGAGAGATTTTGCATGGCACACGTTCCATGCCCGTCCCATTTTTGCAAGGTACAACACCACTGTGTAATGTTTTCGCTGCCGCAGTGCCCCGCTCACCAATTCTGTGTTCCCCAAGAAAAGCTGGCTGAACTGCGCCTCCTCGCTGCCCCCAACCATCCCGATGAACGACCCCTTGTGCAGCTGCGCTTTCCTGTTCGTGATGACCTCCACCGCGATGAGGATACCGCCCATTTCCCCGTACACGACTTCTGCCGCCTCTCCAAAAGTCATGCCCTGGAAGTGGGGGGACAGGGGGGTGCGGTATATCTCCATCGAGGCCCCCGCTTCGTACTCCCTCTGCCACTCCGAGCCTATGTTTTTCTTCAAGGCACGCAACAAGAATGCAAAACTCAGGAACCCGAGGCAACGAACAAGACGCAGAAATTCAAATTGAATACATATGTGCCATGTAGTTTTGAATTGAATAAATGTATGCTGGGCATTGATGATATATCCCGAATGTGGGTTTTCCCCGCAATTTTGCCTCTTGAACTGAGCTCTGGTTGCAACGGACTGTGTGAAAGCGATGAGGGAATAAAAATCTGACAAAAATCTGAAGAGTCGACATACTGTTCACGTCACATGTCTGTGCTAAACTCATATCGTCAAAACAGCGTCCTCCCCCTGACCCCATAATAATTGGTTCAAACTCCATCGCCCCGGCATCGAGAAACATAGTGTGCATATGTACTTAAGAGCAATGTTCCATTTGCCCTTAATGGCCGGTTTAACACTTTCTGGCGAGTGCACGGCTGTTAAGACATTTGACCACTCCATATCATTGTGTTGCGGGCAGAAACCACGTCGACTTGCGCATTATGTTAAGAGTGTGATGAGGTGGGCGGGATGCTAAAGGCCATGACGGGATCTGCGCTATTCTCGCCCAGTTTTCGGAGATCGTGTTAACGTTGTGGCTTCTTTTCTCCGGCGATTCTGGCCAGCCAGAAACGGGATCTTCTGGTCCTGGAGCGGATTGGAACCCATTTATTCGCTCACCACGTGACATACAATATAATTCGAACTTTGAAATGTCTGTCAGCATTCAGATCCATTCACGATTCCCACTTTCAAGTAGACGTAGAGTTAAAAGTGGCTGCCTTAAAGAGCCAGCACCTCCGGCGGCCAGCCCGGACTGGCCCCGCTACCACCGGGCGGTCCTGCGCAGCTACTCTGGGTGAGTCCTTAACGCGTACGCGCGGAACGAAAAAACGCGCTATCGAGCAATCGCCTGCAGCCTCGAGCCCAGGTTCACCTCCAGGTGGGCATGGGAGTGGGTGGGTGGGAAGCAAGAGTAACGCCGCGAGAACGGTCTCAACCAAAACTGGAGCACCACCTCCCAACCAGGCGGGGGCCTTTCCTTGCGTGCCTGCCTGGTGCCGCGCCTCTTGGCCTTTGAATAGTCGAGGTGCCGGCATTGGTCCTGAGTCTGCAGGGCGGCTTGTCCCAATTGATTCGCGCGCATCCCTTCCTTTTCTGTTTTGCACCCGGACAGCGTGGGAAGGTGGTCTAGGCTCGTTTTGGCGAGTCACAGGTCCCCCAGATGTGCTTTTGAACGAGTGAGATGGGCGAGGCTCATGTTAGTCAGCGCGGCTCGCTGTGCGCCGAACTACAAGGGCTCAGCCATGTGCTGGCGAACCGTGTCCCTGTACCGTCTGTCACTATATCACATCGAACCCAACGTATATGTGTACGTTTTGTATCGTATTGAGGTCAGAAAAGTGGTGGATGAGCGGTGGCGCCGTGGGCGCTGAACAGAACATGCGTTGCCAGCATGTTTTAAATTGCTATAAGTATGTCAATATATATTGTCCATTACATTTAACAACTTTGTTGGTGTTTTATATGTGGGAATCTACATATTCGTGATAACTGGACATGTTGGAGCATTTAATGCACACAAGGGCTTTAGTCTTCAAGTCAGTTGTGAATGAACCTTGTTTGTTACAATTAGTTAGCACAGTGCGTTTTCTCCACTGTATAAGACTTGTGTTAGCAACCGGATTAAGTGGAAAAGTCGCTGCATTTGTGTGCACAATATTCTATGCACCGAATCAGGCGTGTCCACAGCAGGTATTATGTAAAAAATCACTAATGATACGTATTCTAGCGCTCGCTTTGCGACGGGTTGCAGCTGCCGGAGAGTGTCAGTCTCCTTTGCAAGATGTGTCGATACACCTATTTTCTCTCATTCAGGCAGCTGATGAAGCGAGGCACTGTGCAGAGGGCCACTCTGAGCTCATGCTGCCAAAGCGTTAGTCCCGCTGTGCATAAACGAAAGCGATGAAAACATACCAGCGCTTCGCGGGATCCACTGCTCGATTTGATAGATTCAGCTGGAAAATTGCGCAGCCGTTCACTCGGCGGCGCCCTCACCCGCAGGACGGACTTCGTGCTGACGCTGTGGCACAGGTTGTGGATGAGAGGGATGACGCCCGGGCAGCCGGTGCAGCTGTGCGCGATCAGTGACAGCTTCAGCTCCAGCACGCAGACCACGGAGTAGTTGGGCACCACCACGCGGCCGGACCGGCTCGCCAGCGGAAATTTCGAGGGCGCCATGACGAAGGAGGCCAGGTGGAGGCGCGACTCGGGCAGCAGTATCTGGAGGAGCACGCGCGGGGAGGCGTCCCGAGACCTGTTGAATTGCATGTGGCGGCCGATGGACAGCGATATGAGGAGGTTGGTGGTGTCCTCCTCCCCCGGGTCGGGGGCGTGCTTGTCGCACATAATGAAGATGGCGCTGCTGTCTGCCGCGGAGCAGCGGGCCAGGTCCTGCGGCGGGCGCAGGCTTGTTATTTGCACCGTATAAGCTGGCCGCCTTCTCGTTTCTATGCGGAAGAATAGTTGTACGTTCTTGCGTGCAAGCAGGCATAAAAATACGTAAAACAACATAAGTGCACCTCCGCGCACATGAAGACAATACAAAACACAGAAAAACAGGCCCATGGAGTCCGGGAATGGCAGCCAGACGCCATGGAATGGGCAGAAAACGAGCATTTGTTCCACGCCGTTGTTGCCCTTGCCGATGGCGAGGTGGAAGATGTGTTTCGGGTGCTCGAGGGGGCGGAGGACCGGTCACTGTTTGCAGTCTTCAGCGTTTAAGCTGCGTGTCCCGACGAGACGCTAAAACGAAAATGCAGCCGAGAAAATAGCCCCTTTGCCATTTCGTGTTTTTGCGCGTGAAGATTATAAGGCAAAACTGTAAACATCAAGGTAAATAGCCAGTCTGATTTAGTGAAATGCGCATTGTCGCGCTTCATGTTTCCTCGCAATTCACATTCACAGTTACCAGCAGTGGAAAGATGCGCTCCCACAGTGCCAATTTACGATATGTGAACAAGTGCAATTTGAAATTGACTAATCCTTCGCAGTTTGCGGGTCGATTGTGTGCAGAAAGGAAAGCAAGAATTCGAATTGCCACAGGCTGTCATCAGTCCTCAATGAATTGCCACTGCATGGAAAACGTGAACAACGTAACGGATAGGCCACCCATGCATGCCTCTCGCTCACTCCCGAGAGTGGTCACAGCTTTGCATCTGCATGGCAACGGCAAGCGAAGAATCCGGACACCAACCAGCTGGCGAAAACTTTGCGTGTATCGATTCGCGCTGGGCTTGACATGATTGCGGCACAGTAAATGGCCAGTTGGGAAATAAAGTTATTATGATCATAGGACGTCGATTTCAGTCCGAATCTTAATACGATTGCATTCTTATGTTGGGAATATAGGATGAATTCCGGGGATGCAGAGGAAGCAATGACAAGTATGGTGAAATATTCTATGCTGGCCAGTACGGATGCCCCTCATAACGTGTTTTCGAACGGCTCAAGACTGTCCTCGAAATTGTCCTAGAGAATAAAGCGCGCTCAGGACAGGAGAGTAATTATCCCTCCTGTCTGGCGATGACAAAGTTGTAACATCGTCTGACGATACATGGTGGCGACGACGATATGTTGGAGATGACGGCACATGATGACGTTGACGGTACATGGTGACGTTGACGGTACACGATGGTGATGGTGGCGGTGATGACGTTGTCATAAATTGTCAGTTGAGCAGGTCACGGCCTTCTTTGATCAAATCAGTGACAGTTCCCACATCATCCTCGTCACGGATTATTCAAACTCTGCATCCATGTCGATCTTGGTACGTTGCCAGCTGAGACGACGCTTTTTGCCCAACTGACTGCCGCTCACCTTGTTAATCATAGGCGAGCCCTGGATGTAATGCAGCCGCTCCCAGCTTCGCACCAACATCTCCAGCTCCCTGCGGGGGTGCTCGGGCGCTAGGAGCACCACCTCCTTGTCCTCGAAGCCATGGTCCTTGTGGAAAAACTCCTCCACGAAATCGCCCACGGTCGTGTGATGCAAGTGGCCCGCCACCACGACGTGGCCTCCTGTTCTCTTGGGCACGTATCTGGCGCGGAGGTACATGCTGCTTTGCCCCAGCAGCTCGATCAACGAGTTGGTCTGGCGGCGTGCAGTATGCATTCGGAGTAAGTGGCGGCATTTTATACGGAAAATCATTCCCAATTTGGCATGGCGACCACCTGTTCTCAAATTCTGTTGAATGGAATCAGGCAGTGCATTTGAAGCGTTCACCCTGTTTCTGGTAAAATTGGTACAGGGGCTACTTTTCACAGTACATCGTTGCACCGCTTTTCCTAGTAGGGCGCTTGATCTGCTCACCTGGTACGGCACAATGATAACAAACGCAACAATAGTCAGAATGACTACCAGCTGTCCAGCTGCGGTGTCCGGCTTTATGTCTCCGTATCCGACCGTAGATACCGTAACAGCACTCCAGTAGAGGGCCTCATGAAAGTGCTCCAGCTACGACAAAGTTGATCACCGTTATTTGTAGTGGTTTATCGAAATGTTCTGAGTGCGAAATAGTCAAAAGGGAGAATTTTCGTCAGCAAACTGACAGTGGTGAGTAGGCAACGAAGAATACGGATATCATAGCTCCAAGAAAAGAGTACATTCCTTTTGAATGAAACAAACTGGCGAAAGCTTTGTTCAACATTTATTGACGCAAGGAATTTTTGAGCCTTCGTTGTCAACAGTAATCCTCGAAAATCCCTTGAAACCGTGAATTTCTGTCACGCAATTTGTGCTACTCCAAATACAACATTCTGGAGACGCTAACCGCGATCCGTTTTGGCACTAAGTGGCGACGCTGCAGTGATTTTGGCGGCACTCAGACAATTGTGATGGCATCAATTGGTAACAAATGGCATAGCAGCTGGCCAGAACGGCATTTTGAACTGGCGTCCGCGCCTAGCACACCTGCTCAATTTCGGCTTCCATGAAGGCTCCCGCCGAGCAGAACACCAGGCTCATGGTCGTGAAGGCTAGGATGAGCAGCTTGCGCTGGACGGCGGAATCCGAATGCGCAATGAGGCGGTGGGCGCGCAGGATGCGCATGACCCTCATGAGACGCACGATCCTGAAGAAGCTCAGGTTCACGGAGTAGCCGAAAGACAGGCTGAGGAAGGGCGGGAAGATGGTGGCGACGTCCACGAGGCTTTCCAGAGAGAAGAGGTACATGAGGCGGCTCTCGGAAATGAACATGCGGAAACCGTACTCCAGGGCGAAGAGGCTGGAGAGGATGAGCTCTAGGGTGAGGCAGATGCGGCAGCGGCCCTGGAGTGGTGGGCGGGGAGCAGTTAGTCGCTGTGAATGAAGGTATTCCTTGTATTGTGGCGTCGCTCTCTAGAGAGGATAGATATGTCCAGGAAAGAACAGACCAGATGGCACGGTCCTTAGACGGTCTGCTGAAAATCCAACTGCGTCAATACGTGTACTAAGCATGTGGTTTTGGGACCGCACTTGCCAAAAGGACACAGTTGGACTTTGTGCAGACTGTTTAAGGACCGTGTCATCTGACCTTTTTTTTTTAGTGTCTCCCCCAGCCCACCACACCACACCACCCACATCCACATGTTTTGCTGGGGAAATCGGTATAAGTCTTGGTGAATTTTTGGTGCATTATTATCTCATTCTTCTCAAATAGTATTGGGAATGCGGTGCTGATCAGGATGCAACAAATATGACCAAAATTGCCGGCACGGTTTGCGGAAGTGTTTGGCATGGCGCACTTTGCCTTGGTGAAGTCTGGGAAGGTGCGATATCATTAACATTTTACAGCCGAATATGCGGTTCACGGAGAAGTAAAAAATTTTACCAGTAAAATTGTTGAATGCTATGCATAGTAGCTGAACCACATGTTTTAATAATTTATTTGAATTTAAGGTTTGCATTAAAGGTGCATTTGAATCATAATTTTGCTCAGCGCGTGGATACAAAGGAACGCACGTCGACATGGCTATTGCTTCGGATGTATAAGCGGATCTGCAGGCCTAACGTCGGTGCACTGATTGGCATATAGAAAGTAAACAATTCACTTTTGCGCCATCATAACCACAGTGAAAAATTAAATTCAAATCATGATATTTAAGTGTAAAACAACTTCCAATTCAACATAATTTCGGCCGCGAGTGCTATAAGAATTTTTGACCTTATCTTCTGGTGCATCTGGTTTTACAGAAAACTCTGGCTTGCAAGTTTTGTATTCATATTTGTAATTCATGTGTCTTGAAATTGAAAATGAACTACTGATTGTGATAGATTTGTGAATTTTTTTCGAAGCGAAGTTCAGGCGACGTGCGGGAGATGCTCCACGCATCGCCTGGGCAATTTTAAAGTACTTTAGACTCCATCTATCAATACTTTTAAATTTTCAGCAAAGTTACATGTTCCTGTAAAGCGCCGTTCTGTTATTCTCTTTTGAATTCCTTATATCAAGAATTTGTGCCCCAATGTCTGGTTCGAGTACTGCTCTGCGAATCAAACGCGCCTTGTATGTCTCCAGCACGTAAATGATAACGGTAAAGAGCGACAGCACTGCGGATCCGTAGTCCATCCACATGCTCAGGTTGGAGGCCTCCATAAATCGCCGCAGGCGCCTTCGCACGGGGACGTCCAGAAAGATCGTTTCGACTTCAATCTCGCTCCGAGTCCTGGAATGTTTACACGTAATCAGAAAATGCGCCGCTATTATATTATCGGCAAGCTTCGAGAAAACTGTTGGCCGTTAGTTGGGTACTTTCTAGTGAGCGGCACTTGTGCATCACGGTTGTGTGTCACGTTTTATTTGTGCATCGCGTTCTGTGCATCACAGTTGTGCTGGAACGTAATCTGCTGGAATGTGTTCCGCGCTCGATGTACGGTGATTCGCTATAGCTACCTCCCGATGCGCTAGCGCTCTGCAATGGACTGGCGATAACGTATGTACAGATGCTCTTTTCGTTGAAAGCAAACTTGTTTTTACGCCGTAAAAAATGGTCGTATTTATGTTTTTACGCGCAAAAATAGTTTTTACGCTTTTACGCGTAAAAGTGCGTAAAATACGTAAACACAAGGTAAAAACTGTCCGGTGTACATAAGGACAGCACATACAGACTTAGGAGTCCGGAGAGTGGCAGCTAGGCGCCCTGGAAGGGGCAGAAAACGAGTTTTCGTTGTGCGCCATCATCGCCCTTGCCAAGGCCGAGGTGGACATTGTGTTGCGGGTGCTGGAGTTGGTGGAGGACTGATCATTGTACGCAACTTTCATCGTATAACCTGGGTGTCCCAGGGAGCCGTAAAAACGTAAAAATAGGCCCTTTTGCAAATTTACGTTTTTACGCGTAAAAGCGTAAAAGCAAAAACGC